AAAATAAGCTCCTATTGCACATATAATTATTAATAGAGATGCAACAGCAATAGAGAATCTATCAGTGATAAGCCTGTGAATTGAAACCATATACGTCGATGACAAGATTATTTTCAATTGGAGCAGGTCGCTTCAAGACAAAAATAAAATTTCAGAGTCCTAATTTTATGTTTGCTAGGGAGAAAAGGCGATCGGACTTTTGGGAATTGGCGAAACTCTTGTGGAAAACAACACCAATACTAAGGAAGAAAAGGCCAGTCGTAAAATATTAATCGAAGTATATCGAAACCCATTAGAACTTACCGCAATTTACTAAAACTTACTACAATTCAACAAGGGTACCTAGTCCCACGATAATACGAAATCAATGTGGAAAACGTGAACCCTAAGAATCGCCGAATCCATCAGAATCTCAGATATTCGAATCCGTTTTCGCGCCTATATCTAAAATTCTAGAGCTAATTTTCCCTTATTTTAATTAGTTTCTTTGATTCTGTATTTCTTCAAATCCACCAGAATTCGCTTTTTTTGTTATAGAAAATATTCATACGGACTTTTCTAATACCGATGAAAATCCGAACCCGCTAATTGGCAAAGGCAAAGAACGAAACTTGTGCTCCGAAATATATATTTTAAACCCCGGAAGGAGTAGATGGCTAAAAACATGATCGGTATTTTCTTTCCTATCTGATAAAATTTTCTACAGAAGTATATTTAATCTAAAAACTTGCCTAATCGAGCACCTGTAGCATGTCCGTCTTTTTTAACTATGCCAGTTTTAAGATCCAAAACTCTTCCATTACCATTTCCATTTGGACTTCCATCTTGTGGTTGTAAATTCAATTGTTCCCGAACTTTTTCTACATCATCCGGATGAACAAAATCTAAACAACAGAATATTTTCTATTTCAAAAATAATTTTTTTAAAATTTCTACCATAAAAAGATCTTGAATACCAATCTTGACATGTATATGAAAGTATATGTTGTATAGCATCACTTATATATATAACACGTAAATTTTCAGAATTAAGTGCAAATAAAAAAGCATCACATGATTCAACTAATAAATATTTCAATTCTTGATCATTTAAAAATGATGGTTTATGTAAATCATGTTGTTGTTGAGGTATTGGAGATACATATTGACGGTAACCATATAAAAAACAAGTCATAATTGGCTATAATTCTTGGAGTAAGAGCTGTTAGGTCAGATCTGGACCTGGACCCGAGAAAGGAAAGTTTTGGGGCTCTAGTTCCCATGGACACACCCTTTATTCAACTAAATCGAATGTACTTATTGATAAATAACAAAGTTTTATTTAATAGATTTTTATTTAAACATTTCATATAACGAAAAAAAAGGTTTAATATCTAAAACGCAGTGGTTATCTTAACCCTTTCAATACCGATATTTTCTTTCGTCGTACACAAAGTCTTGTTCTTTATTCAATATAAATATGAAGAAAAAAAATAAATAAAAAAACACATTAGGGACGATGTAGTTCATAATAATCACTTAATGGCTTTGGAAGATTT